GTGGACACCAGCACCATGGACAGCAGTGCCGTGGACACCAGCACCATGGACAGCAGTGCCATGGACACCAGCGCCAAGGACAACATCCACTATGGATACCACTCACCATGGACACCACCCACCATGGAAAACACTCACCATAGACACCACCTACCATAGACACCACCTACCATGGACACCACCCTCCATGAACACCACTCACCATGGACACCACCCACCATGGACAGCAGTGCCGTGGACACCACCTACCACAGACATCAGAGCCATGGACACCAGTATCAAGGACACCACCCACCAGACAGCAGCACTATGGACACCACCCATCATGGAACCACTGCCATGGACACCAGTGTCAAGGACATCACTACCACAGACACTGGCACTATGGAAACCCACACCATGGATACCAGCAGCATGGGAATCAGCATCATGGAGACTTCACCACCATGGATGCACCACACGGACATCAGCACCATGGGGACCAGCATCACTGGTACCACCACCATGGACCCTACCACCATGGACAATATCACCGTGGGAACAAGCACCATGGGAACCAGCACCGTGAGAACCAGCACCGTGGGAACCAGCACCGTGGGAACCAGCACCGTGGACACCAGCACCATGGACATCACCGTGGACACCAGCACAGCGGACACCAGCACCGTGGACACCAGCACCAAGAGAACCAGCACAGTGGACACCAGCACCGTGGACACCAGCACCATGGACAACAGCACCATGGGAACCAGTACCATGGACATCACTGTGGACACCAATACTGTGGGCAGCAGCACCGTGGACACCAGCACCATGGACACCGGCACCATGGACACCAGCAGCATGGACATTACCCTGGACACCAGCACAATAGACACCAACACCGTGGACAACCAGCACCGTGGGCAACATCACAGTGGACACCAGCACTGTGGACACCAGCATCGTGCACACCAGCATCGTGGACACCAGCACCGTGGGCAACATCACCACAGACACCAGCACTGTGGACACCAGCACCGTGGACACCAGCACCATGGACATCACCGTGGATACCAGCACCATGGACACCAGCAGCATGGACACCAACACCATGGACATCACCCTGGACACCAG